AAAGTATGCCACATCGTTTGATGGAAATGAAAATGATCAACCTAGAGAGGGCTGAATTCAAAGACACCCCGCAAATTTAAGTGGACAAATTATGCTGCAGGCTAGTCCATTTTTGCTGAAATTCCATTGCAGCAACTCAAAATGGTACTCAGTACTGTGTATTGCCCCCACGTGCTTGACACTGTGCTGGGGGACACAGCAAACCTTCTGGTAATGGCACGTATTGATGCTCCATCCTGGAGGAGTTGACTGCCTGTGCAACCTCTGGAGGGTCCAGGTATCGCCTCATGCTAGCTGCAATGACACTGAACCTAGCCAAATGTAAAAATAGTGAAACAGTCAGAAAAGATGAGTGGCCTCCACCTGGAAAAGCATTCCTGTTTTAGGGGTCGTCTCATTGTTGCCCCTCACCAAAGCAGCTGAAATGGATTAACAACCCCTCTGCTACTTAACTGACCAGATCAAAATCCCAGAAGTTTAATTGACTTAATGCTATACTCTGAAAAAGTGTTCCTTTATTTTTTTTGAGCAGTGTATAAGAAAGGGCTTTCTAGTTAAAATGGTAAATGTTTTTTTAGATACTTACAACTCCAAATTGTGGACTGACATCAACACAATGAAGGTAAATTGAATTTAGTTTTCTAAGCACTGAAAGAACAACATCTAACAAATTAAAACACTTTTTATTAACAGTGTGCATTTTACTCTGGATACACACATGTTTGAGTTTCCACCAGAGATATAAAGTCCCTACAAATTTAAATTTGACTGAATAACAGAAGGTCTTATGATTAAATGTCTCTGCAGTGAATAATGATTGTGGCTGGTTTACTTCAAATTAACCAGAGATAAGACTTCCAGACAGAAAATCTTAATTTTCTTACTACCGACTAAACAGTGGAGACACCGCTTCAAAAATGGCCTAAGGACAGCTCCTGACATACATTCATGCACATTTCAATATAATTATAATGATAACAAGGCATATTTTGCAATGAAACTCTTGGGAAAGCTGACAAAAATGTTTCAATTATAGAAATAACAACTGTCGTCGCCTCAAACTGTAACTTAACCAAACACTGTAACAACATCTATATGCAATATATGTAAATTTCCCTGCTGCGGGGCGAATTAAGGATTCATGACTTTTGAATGTAAGAAATGTTAGTAAATAAATAAGGGCCTATGTCTGGTCAAACTTGCTTTGTCCATATATAAAAAGTTTAGTTTTATAAACAACTAATGTTCTTGTGACATCCCTGAAAGCAACATGGGTAAGTGCAGTGCCAGGGTGTCACCTCTCTCATGAGGATCTGGGCCCTCTGGACAAACACTGAGGGGCTGGACACGTCAAACCTCTGCTGCAGACCCTCCAGACTCAGCGGCTCCACCTTCTCATAGCAGCTCTGCATCTTCACCGGGTGGAAGGCCAGCATGGAGATCTTCTCCATGTGCTTAAGGAGAGGAAGGGGGGGGCAGAGTATTATTTCAGATTTGAATTCATTAATACATCTGTTTCACAAACCATAATGGACATACATCGTTTGTATTTCAGAGTTTGATGCTTTAATAAACCCGTTTCTCTCTCTCCTCACCTGTGCCACGGCCTCCTTGGTGCCGTTGTTCAGAGAGTTGTTGCTCATGTCCACCAGCTCTCTGAAGAACACGTCGCGGACCTCAGAGAAACCTCGGCTGGTGGGCTCCATTAGGGCGTCCAGGATGGAGCTGATGTAGGGCTGGATGCTCACCTTCAGCAGCTTCTCAGCCTTTGGGAGGACCACCTCTGTGGGGGGGATGAGGAATGTGAGAGGAAGAGAGATCTGGTCAGTGTTTTTCTATTTATGTTGAAGGACTCTGAACCCCACACAGTCAGTCGGACATTTGAAAGTCCAAAGATTATTTCCGTTTGTCATTCACTGGCTGGGATAGATGGGATCGTTGTGTTGACTTTAGAGCAAAAACATGCCACTCAAACCAACGGCAGATGAAATGGTTAAAGCAGGCAAGTGGAGCACGCTCAGGTACTGCGAAGCGCATAAAGCTTAGCAGATTCTTCACGCTAACGAATGATCACTTTAGGCTACTGTCCAGCAGCTCCTGCCTCTCTGTTGGACTCTGTCGAAGCGGGGCGGCTCTTCACAACGAAGGATCACTTCTTCTTCAAGGCAGGGAAGGCTACGCAGTACGCAGTCTACTGTCCCGCAGCTGCTGCCTCTCTGTTGGACTCCGGTACTGCACATTACTCACGAGCAGTGTTGGGACTAACGCGTTACAAAGTACTGTAACGCAACTACTTTTTGCGGTAACTAATAGCGTTACTAGTTACCTATTCCCATTAAGTAACGCCGTTATAGTTACTATGATTTAAATGGGTGCGTTACTGCGTTACATTATGTGATGGAACTGAACCGAATCTCACTGCGGATGTAACTTACAGGCGAATACAGCGATGTCCTCTCACAGCACCATGGAAAAGTGAAAGTAACCAGAGAGGAGTGATGATTGGTTAACGCGGGGTAACATTTCAGGGTAAGCCAATCAAAGACAGAGTTGGGCGGGTCTTGCCTTATGGGGAAAATACACACACACGAACACTTGCTAACACACACACGGCAACGCTCACCACGAGAACACACACACGGCAACGCTCACCACGAGAGAACACACACACACACACACACACACACACACACACACACAGACACACACACACACACACACACACACACACACACACACACACACACACCGACACACACCCACACACACACAGTTTGCTTCAGAGTAAAATTGGTAGATTTGGTGTTTTGTTGCAGCTGTGTTTCAATAAGCATACAAACTACCTTTTCAGAGTTCTTCAAGAGATATGCAAGACCAAAGTTATTCCGCTTTGTTCCGAGGTGGAAAACCTCATGAATTGAGGAATCAAGTGATCTTTTTGATATGTCATCCTATTCACTCAGCTTCCTGATTTGATTTGTATCTTCACGAGGAACAAAGAAAAAAGGGTTGGATCCCCTTAATTACACTGCTCAAAAACATTTAAGGAACACTTTGAAAACACATCAGATCTCAATAGGAAAATACTTCATGGTGGATATCTATACTGATGTGGCCTGGGAAATTTGTAAGAAATGAAAGTATGCCACATCGTTTGATGGAAATGAAAATGATCAACCTAGAGAGGGCTGAATTCAAAGACACCCCGCAAATGTAAGTGGACAAATTATTATTACGGTCAAATGTAAACTGTGTGCAGGACAGAAAGCATTGTCCACATCGAATAACAGCAATGCCAATCTCCTGAATCACCTAACTAATGTACATAGGGCT